TACCTGGCAGGTATGGTATCATTGGATCATTGGGTGATATTGCAACACATTTTGTAATTACAAAGACCAACAACTTATATTGACATGTTTATAAATCAGATTCCAAAGAAAGTAAATTAGATTATCCCAATTAATCTTATAATTTGAATATATACCATTAATCAAGTGAGGCAATAAGTTAGAATATTTGTACAATATTGTTCAAATATCAGCAACATGTAAAATAATTAAATTCTGAATCTAAATAGCATGGTATCTGCCAGTGTAATACCAGTAATATGATAAGATTGCCTCAGAATAATTGTTAATGGCTCAATAATTAGGTCACAAACCAATGGAGCAATTGGGCAACCATGACAGCTGCCATACTATAACTCATCTGATAACTCAACTGGTCTAAAAATTAAAAATTAAAAAACATTTACTATTGGTTTCAAATAATAAATTTCAATCCATTTAATAAAAGAAGTTGGGAATCCATCCTTATGTATGTCTTGCTTAAAAAAGTTAAGTTTACCCATGTCTAAACTTTTTTTCAACATCCAAAAACATTAATACACCAGAATCCAATTTTTCTCAAGGTATAACATACCTATTTATGAGTGTAAATTATCTGATACTGTCTGGTTTTGGAAAGTCCAGACCAAGTTGGATGAATTATGCATGGTGACGCTCTCTGAAATCATCTAGACAAAAAGCAATAAATATTCTTGCACCTACCATATGGATCTATAAATTGTACAAAGCTCAAAAACTTTACCTGCTTTTAAAATCAGTGCTGTAGAAGCCTCATAAAAAGGCAAAGACAATTTACTGGATTTAAGTGATTCATTATAGAACTCTGCAATAATGGCTCAACAAATCTACAAAACATTTATACCAGAAAAGCTGTCCACTGGAACTTTCACATTTTATCTCCAGTATGTCTTTCAGTTTCAAAGATACCTTCCAACATCCACAGAATCTTGTGATAATGGTTGGATAGCAATTTCTTAAAGTTACCCTATTGTTATGTTTAAATAATGTAATATAGAGGCTCAGGGTTTGAGGGATTTGAAAGTTTAGATTCTATAGGGTGGGAGAACTGAAACTGTCTTCTTGATTTTGGAAGGAAGAAGGCACGAGACCAACCAATACAGGAATGATAGCAAATGAACATAAACTCCCCACTCCTCACACACACTCTTTTCTTGGTGAAATAGTGTTCTCTTTTTTTCTACATTGTTCAAAGCCTGGATAGATGTAAACAGAAGTCAGGAAAAAAAGAAGGCATTTAAAAAAGCTGAGGGAGAAATGACTGAGGTGGAGGTAATTCATGATTATAGGGTGATTATGAGATGTCTATGCTTCCAACACTCCCAAACTGCACTATTTCTCTGTACCTCTAGCCTCCTAACTTACCTTTCAAGATGAAACATTTTATTGGGATGACCCAGGATGGGATACAAAATAAACACAGTCACAAAAAACAGGTGAAGCCCCTTTTATTCCTTCACTTTGCTTCCAAGCTCCAAATATCCTTGACTGGAGACAAAAAACTCTCACAGAAGCAGTTACAGGAAGGAAGAAATGCCATTTAAATTATAAAGAGTAAAAAAACAACACAAACCAGGCAAGATAAGGGCTTGAAGATGTCCACAGGTATCAGAACACACACTGGGAAGGACACCAAACTCAGAGAGGAACAATAAACTACAGATATTTCCACGCTTTGTTTCCAGCACTCGCCTGTACGCATGTCCGTCCTTTTATCCAGTTGTCACAGCTGCAGCCCATGAAGAGGATCAAGGTCCTCTTCTCCCCAGTAGACAACGTCTCTCCCTTATCCTCTCCTCCCTGCGTGCCCTAGGATGGAGAGGGGATGGGCCTGGGTCCTTCTCTGACTGCCCAGCCAGCCTCTGCCCTTCCCCAGCCTCCTCCACAACCTCCGGAGCCACACTTCCACTCCCTCTCAGCTGTTCCTCCTCTCCCTCAGAGTCAGTCTCTACCAGGGGCATGACACTTACACATATCAAAACTGTTCTTGAATAGTGTTGGATTAAAGAGAAAATTCTATTATTATACCAGTGTAATTGATGATAGCTGATGCTTATCTCCTCCATTAGTGAGGGAGAAGATAAGGGCAACACCATGGAGACAAGGTCCAAACTACATTAATGTCCACTCACTTTATAATCAGGGATACTAAACAGTCACATCCAAAATAGTGGAAAGGGAAACATTTGGAAAGGGTTCAATAAATAATGGATTCTTTGTCTATTGTAGTATATATCAAACCAAGTATGGTCTCTCTTGATCATCAATCTAGGCTGTCTGAAGACATCTCATTTGAATTCAGCATATGTTGATAGTATATGTTATTATGTCTTTGGAGACAGATTGTCTTTCTTTCTCTTGAAATCCATTTTAATCAAAAGATAGTGAACATCAATTTTCCAAGATAGAAAGAAGCACATTTCATTCCCTAAGCTCATTAAAAGAATTGGGTTACTGTTGTCGATCATCAGTAGGCTTATGGAAGTATACAAATCTCAGAAGTGAATAAATAAAAATAAGTATTCTTGGCTTGTGAGCATGCTGGCTTGACAACACCTTGACATCTGTGAGACAATTCTAATAGTTTTATTACTGATGTAGAAATGGAATATCCCCTAGAGGGCACTATTAGCAATTATATTACCAGGGAACTGATAATATTTCAGGCTGAATATTAATGAAGTTTGTGTGCTGAGGCCATTGAGCAGTAATGTTACGTTTTGTTCAAGAAAACTATATTCACTTTGGGATCAATTGCCCAGAGCATGGATTTTACTGATGGGCAACACACAGGCAGCTGCTCATGGTAGTGATTGGTTGAAGCTTGTGATATTACAAATTGTGAACTTTGTATGGGGAATGTTTATGTGTGTGTATCTGTCTACACACACACACACACACTCCTATTCAATGAATCAACATGCAATTGGTTGGATTCATAATCATGGTTTATATATCAAGTTATAATGTAGTTTCATTGATTATTTCTCATGCAGTGTAACGATAGCCATTATAATTGGTCAACATGGTTTATGCTTTAATAGTATATAAGAAATCAGCCTTTATGTCTTATTCAACAATTAATGATTTAAACAAACTCCTAGATCAGTGCAGCATGTGAACCTAATGCATTCACTTTGTGGGATAAAAAAAATGGGAAATTCTATTTAAAAACAGATATTTGGACATACCATTGGAATAGAAACAATATTTTTCAAAATATATCTAATTTCCCTTCCAAGGTTTTCAATTAACATAGATATATTGTAGGAGGTCTTTGATCAGATCACCCTTTTCCTGTGTGTATAGTGCTTCAGAGAAACAAAACTACTTTCCCATCTCATTTTCCACAGTTGCCAGCTTGGAAAATGCCAGTTGCTAGTAATGCTAATTACACCCACACAAGGATGGGACCGAGGGATGTGAACGGGAGAAAAATGGCTCAAGGATAGGCTTAAACCTCCTCTTTCCTGCACTTTAAGTGTGGAGCCCTCTGCTGGTCATCTGAAGTCAGGAGGAGGCTTTTCAAAAGTATTTGCCTATTAACTTAAGCAGAGCACTGAAACGATATCAAGTGATTTAAGCAGAAGGACACCCCATTTAAAATACTACTCCTAACCAAAAAAGAATATCATTGTTGTGGATGCAGAGGACAAATGCAAGCAGACATTCACCACATTTGATTTAAAAGCTAGATTTGAGGGGTCCTTGGTGCTCCCTGAGCTGCTGATGTTAATCTAGTTAGGGTATTGAAAGGTTTGCAAGAAAACAAGATTTGTTAAGAACTACAGAAAAGCCTCACTCAGAGAGTAAAACCCAAGAGAAGGAGGAGGAGAACATACCTTTCGTCTCTTAAGCACAGCAACTTGTTTCAGTATCAACAAGATATCTGAGAGAGACACACAGGGACAGCATGGGAAGACTCTCCACTTCATATTTCTGCCCATTGGTCCTAAGTGTCCAATGGCTCATGGATGCAAATAAATGATGTCAACCTTTATTAAAGACTGGAAGTCTGATCATAGACATCATCCTTCATACGTCGCTTGGCTTAAGTTGAATTTGCCCAAGTTTAAACAAAAACATTTTTTAAAAAAACGAATTAAGGTTGTTACAGCAGAAAATAGTTTGGTGCCTATTAAGTTGGTGCATATTAAGAATACTCTCACCTCTGTGGTGTCAATGGCATAGTTCTCCATTTTTCTGGGCTTAGAAAAATGATTTCTGGAGCAACAATAATTGCTTCAAAGTATTCCTCAGAGTGTTCCTTTTTTAGAGCTATGTTAGAATGACTTTTGGCTTCATCCCCTTATCTTTTCTCAGTATATCAGTCTGGCTTTTCCTGTGTTTTTTGTTTCTCACAGCAAGAGCACCTTGGAGAAATCTGCTTCTCACTGCGATATGTCCCCAGTACCAGCAAATTAACGGTAGTTATCTTGGAAGCCAAAAAGCTCAAGGTTATGGATGCAGATGGATTATCAGGTATGAAGGACAGATTCCTAAGGCTCATTGTGGAGAGCAGAGGAATATCATGCTGATTTAGAGCCTGTTAATGCATGTTGCTGAAATGGATCCCAGAGTCCCATTATATTTTCAATCTCTTTTGTCTAAATTTTGCACGGATGTCAAATTCGCTGTATCATGTTGCCGTCATGTGACGTTTTGTGACATTTTCCCCATTTGTGGAGCTGGGATGGGCGTGGCGTGATTCATCCGGCCCGCAGGGCCCCCAATTTGACACATGTGAAGGCCCCTATTAGCTCTCTTGATTTGAATTACTGCTGATCTTGGCAGCAGGGAAGATACAACATGGCATGGAACTCTGTTGTAAGAACTACAATCCTCTCTTGCATCATGAAAGTTGGGTGAGTTTTGTCATAGCTTCTGTTTATTGGTATCACAGTGATGTGGAAGAGAGATAGGAGAACTGTATCTATCTATCTATCTATCTATCTATCTATCTATCTATCTATCTATC